CCGCCGGGTGGGCGGCGGCGCGTCCTGCGCTCGGATGTCGGAGACGGAGGAGATGCCGCGGGGGAAACGGAGGAGCCGCCCCCGGCTCCAGCCGCCGGGGCAGAGACGCCCCGGGTGCCGCTCCCCGCCCGGCCCCTGCCCCGGGCCGCCCGCCAGGTAAGCCTGGCGTTCCAGTCGGAGCTCCCATCCCTGTCCTCGGCCCGCCGGGGAGCGCCCCTGTCGAGATGTCCCGGTCCAGGTAGGAGAAGCCGTTCCGTGTGTCAACCTGGGCGGGTCAGAGCCCGTGTCACCGCGAGCCCGCCGCTCCGCACCCCGCGGGGCTCCGACCGCCCCAGCTACCCAGCTGGCTGTCGTGGGTGCTGTACACATGGGATGGGGTATTGCTGCATCTTTATTTACACAGAAATAGTGCCCTCAGCGCTGGCCTTGACCCAGTTTTTAAGCCAACGAAGATGAATTTGTTTCGTTCCTCTCGTGTCTCTGTCATCGTTTTCGAGCACTGGTTACTGTTTGTTAGACTTTAGCAGGGAAAATGTAAACCTACTGACACTGCTGTGTACAGAAAGACTTTCTCTGGCCTGTTTCCATTCTGCAGCACATCAAGAACTTTATTAGATGATTCTTGTGAAAGATGTTAACGCACAGTAAATCTGAGGCATTCATGTAAATGCCTTTAAACAGTAATAAAATTAAACTTACTAATTGGGCTGGAACAAGTTACAAGAAGATGGATTTAATGCTGCCTGGGATGCTTCCAAAGGGAATGTACAGTTTGGTAAATGATAGTGATGAGAACATTTATGTCCCACACATCAGATTCTGTCCTGTTATGCAGTATCTCCATCAACATAATCCTGAACCCCATCAAATCAACACCAAATCAAAGTCCATGTTGAAGCCATCTCTTGCATTTGCTTTAGCTGCAGCTAAATAATAATCTTATTTTCCTCCTTTCAATCAGAATTCCCTTTTTAAGTCATGCTTGTAATGCTAGGCATTTAGAATACATATAGTAGCTTGCAGAAATCCAGAAATACGTTTGCCCCAATGCACAGTTAACAAACTGCTACAGTGATACTACTGCAGGGGTATAAGCGACCTTGAAATAAGTGGAAATTGGACCAAACTCCTCGCTTGCAGTTGCAGGCCAGATCCAGCAATGTTCTGGCACAAACAGAGCCCACCTAATGGATTCCATACATTTAAAGAGCTTCAGAAAATTTTATTTTTATATATTTTCAGTCGTTAGCTAGGGGAACCCTGGGCTGCCTGCTCACATGAGCAGAATGAACACAGATGTGAAAGCGGAGGGTTAACAGGATATACACTTCTGGGAGATGGGGGAAGCCCTTGCCATAGAGCCAGGCTTGAAGAAAGGGGCAGATACTGGTCTATGGGTGTGTCGAAAATAGGGCAGTTCTCCACCCATCCCTCCTCACAAAAACAGTGTGAGGGAAATTTTGTTTACTTGAGTCAGATTATAGCAGTTGAAAGGAAGGTCATGATTTGGGCCTAAACAGTTTTGGCTTACTGCCAGCAACTTGTTTTCAAAAGTAGAAATAGGAATGATTTCAGAACACTCTGAAAAATAAAAATCAATGGGCAGAAGAATCCAGCTAAACTATGACAAAATGTTTCCAGATATGTCCTTAGGTGAGGTGAGATAGTATGCAGCACAAGGAATGCTTCTCATAAATATTAACCTAGTTTATCTTTAATGAGGATTGACTACATTTAATTAGGATTTGAAAGACTTCATTTTAGAGAACGTAGGTCTCACCCCTGGCTAGAAGAGGTGTTACATGACCTAATAATCTTTTCCATTTTTAGATGCTACTGCCTGCCATGATGATCCTTGTGATTTATGCCATTCCCCAAGGACAGAGCGGAGAGATCCTTGGTTTGGACAGGTCCTGCTTGGCTCCTCCACCAGCCTTCTTCCACAGAACCACAACTTGGCCTTAGCCATGGCCATTCCTACCAGCTGACAGGGCCACCAGAGCTCTTAGTAAATGCTGTAATATGAAGGAAATATTCTTTGAGCTCCTTTAATCCATCCACAAGACTGATCCAGTGCTTATCAGCCTCAGTATTAGCAAGGGGGAAAACAGGTAATTATTGCTCTGTCTTGCATGTGGACAGCCTCCAAGGCAGACGCCATTCTCCTCCCATAGTAGCCCTGGGTGTTCAGCTCTCCTGCATGAGTAACCTGACCTTTGCTGTTAGAAAAAATAAAGTATAAAATACCACCTTATTTGGTCATTTTTACCATGGAAGTGGCGTTTCCTGGAGCAGCTACCTGTTAAATCCTTCCTACAGACTGCAGCCTGGCTGGGTTCAAAATCACTCATACTCTGGGTTTACCATGAGCACAAAGTCTTATTCCAAAAGGCAGTCTTGGAGGCTGATTCTCTTGGGCTGATAATCTGAGCAGAATTGAGGATCAGCTAGTTAGTTACATGCTTTAAATTGCCACTACATGTATCTGTGTGCTTTAGGAGGAAACTTTTACTCAGTCATGTTTGGGGTGGATATTTACTTGATAAGTGTTCTGCACATCTCTTTCAAGGAGAATGTGTGCACATCCATGTCTTCCATACCCTGGAAGACATGAAAATCAGATGGCAATGCTTGGCTTTAAAAAGATTTCACTGACAGTCTAAATGAAATAACTCTCTGGAGTTCAAACCAGCAGGCATTGTCAGATAGAAGGGATTAAAAGGCTTTTTAATGTGGCTTAGTAGTGTACAGAAGATTGGCTTACTTGTATGAGCTCTTCTTTTGTCACATTGATCTTTATTTTGCATTGTGCTTAGTACAACAGAAACTGAAGGCTGAAGTCTTCTTTCCTGAATCATCTGACATGACTTGACCCTTTTATTGCTTAGTAAAATATTTTTTTGTGAAGGAAGAATTGATTTTTGCCAGTGTAGCCACTGTTGAGTAATAGCTGAAGAATACCAACTTGTAATAATTTTATGAACACTGTATGTGGCCAGGTTGGTGAGAGGAAGTTACTATACAGCGGGTTATGCTACTTTATATTACTTTCCTCTATGGATGTATTGATCTAACTTAATAGGGAGCTAGCTGATGAAGGAATAAAAGGCAATTCAGTGGTTCCCCTGTGTCAGCTATATGTGACTAAACCCATGAGGTGGTAATTACAGGAATGATAGCTCCAGTTCTGAGGGATGCAGCTGGTTTGTCTGGCTACGCTAAAAATCAGAGGAGGATAGTCAGCAGAGACAGATGGAAGAAATAATTTAACACAGAGGCAGACTTTGCAGAAGAGGCTGGAAGAAGCTGGGCCTTCCTCTCTGCTGCAATGGAAAGGTAAGTCATACAGAAGGAAAGGCAAGTGTGTTGACTGGATTATTGCTCTTAGGATCTATTTTGTCTTAAATGTTTTGGTGCTAAGTAAGTGTTTTGTGGTCAGTACTTAGAGCCAGTACTTCATGAGAGACTAAAACTGAGGTTTGGGTCTGTCTCAAGTCTGCAGAGGTAGCCATGGTTGATACACTGGGTATGCAACCCGAGAACTAGGTCTGTGTGTAGCAAGAAAAAGACAGCTAGAGATCTGGAGGAACATTTAATTGGGCACTTGCAACAGCAAAGTGCAAACAGTCACGGGTTTTGTTTCTTCTTCTGTTGTCTATAAATGGCTTATAGAACGATATGTGGGCTTTTGCATACAGATTTAACCTTGGTGTTCTGATGTGGTGCTTTGTGTTTTTTTTTTTTTAGTATGACATAATCAAAAACACAGCATCAAAGGTAAGAACAAGTTCATTACATAGACACCAGTAATGTAAACATCCCAGTTGTGTCAGAATACTGAGAGGTGGGCTCCTGCTTCTCAGCTGAAAGATAATACAGCAAAAGAGGTTTTTGTTTTGTTGTCCTTTTATTCACCATTTATTGCACTGTTGTTTTCACCACTTGCTGTATATAATCGATTGGTTGTCCACTGCTGTTACCATGGATATTTAATACATGGACTTGGAAAAGAGACGCATTTTTATGGAAAGGAAAATGCAACTACAAAACTCCTCTTGTGCCTGTGCTATATTTTAGGTGGATGTGGCCAGTAATATCTGAAACTTTCTGTTTCATGTTCTTGTCTACCATCTGCACATCTGGATAGCCGTCCTGCACCTCGTGTGTTGTGAGGCTGGTGTCCGGGAGAGCATTGGGTGTGAAGTAGCTCCTTGTGTCCATTCTTCCTCCCCGGAGCAGCTGAGAAGGGCCAGGTGCAGGTTTGTAGGTCAGTTGCTTTGAAACTCAGAAGCACTTAATGGAAGAGTGGTAAAAGCTGCCGATTCCAGTGGTCCAGCATGAACAGGAATCCAAGGCTCTCCCTTCAGACTCTTAGGTCTGGGTTTTTTGAGATCAAAGGGGAATGCAGTATTCTGAACAAAATGTGTGAGGGCCCACCCTTCCTGAGTTGCACTTTTGGTGGTATGTTCTGTCCTGAAGCTGTAATACACTACAGAAGGGTTTGGGTTTCTCCCCTCCCTGTCCTCTTTGAATATATATTGTGAGAGAAACTTAATAGATGTTTTCACATGAGTCTCTAATCCTACACTGCTCTCATTGTACCTGAGTGTTCAGTGAGGAGAGCTGTTGATCGTTAACAGTTTAAGCCTAGCACCTCTAATTCATCGGAAGTTCATGCAATGTATTACTTACATTAGATGTAGGTGCCAAAACTGACCTGTAAACCTAAAATTAAATTGGGACTACAAAATTAATTTCATTTAGGTTGTGAAAATTAGACTATAAATGGAATTCCTGTGGGAACTGCGCAAACCTTCTTTGACATTGATTTAGTGTAATTCTTTTCCTAATTAGGTAACTTTAAACTGTGTAACTGGTACATAGTTTTAACCGGCACAGATTTGTAGCAAGTCTTGCAGTAAGATGAGTATTAACAGGAACATTCTGTGGTGTTTCTGAATTTAAGGATCACAGTGTATATGGTTTTGTTTTAATAAATTTTAATTTATGCAGTTGACTAGACGGTCAGGGGTTATGCTCCCTTCCCAAACCTGATCAGATAGATAATGATACAAAGCTATTATGTCATTTGTTGAACATCTCCATCCATTTTAATTCATAAAATGTGCGTGAACAGGATAACAAAAATTCAGGGTAAAGACTTATTTTATGGTAAAAACTGAATTCAGAATCTGAATTTCAGGGTTATACCTGAATCAGGATCATGTCCAAATCATAATCATTAACACCTAATTTGGGAAAAAATTGAATTAAAGACTTAATTTTTCAAATTGAACCCAGGAATTCAAAGTCTGAGTAGCTCTGGAACAAAAATTTGCATTTTCTTAATAGATGGCAAGTGTGTGTGCTTGTTTTATGCATGAAATTAAATTTAGAACTAAAATTATTCTGAACCATTCAAATGTTCATGCTCTAGATGATAGCATATTCTGCTTGCTATGCTGCTAGTAACAGTATTAAATTTTTCTCTTTGAGATTTAGCCATATTCTTGTTGGTTTTAAAGATAACATGTTCAGGTCTGATTCTTCAAGTTTTACTCTGGCTTTGAGTAAATTCAGAGGGCTGAATTAACACATGCACTGTCTGTGTATGAGAGCTCGGGCATTAGATTCTCTCTGCAGGGGAACATTTAGGGTACTTGAGATAATTTGACCTGTGAAAACACTAATTTTGAATGTTTTACTGAAAATAACTCACAATATCCTGACATTCTGTAAAATGTACAACAATGCTTTTAAACAGGGAAGAATAGGC